GTGAATGATGAAGGCAGCAGAGCATAGAGCTGCCATGGTATTGCTACATCAGCCCTGACTCACTTATGCTAAAACTATTTAAAAAATAATGGTTAAGCCACTGTTTACCATGCTTATACCACCAGATTTGGTATGTTAATTCAGACACTAAGTTCATATGGAACATTTGCCAAAATAGACTATCAATCAAGTCTCAATGAATTCAAAAGGATTGAAATCCTACAGAGTATGTGCTCAGACAACTCATCAAAGAGTATATATCACAACTATTTTTTCCTGGTAAGCAAGTGTGGTTTAACATATGTAAATCAATCAATAGGATTTATCACATTAACAGAATGAAAGATAAAAACCATCTCAATTGATGATAAAATCATCATCTCAATTGAGGTAGAAAAAGCATTTGACGAAGTTCAACATCCTTTCTTAATTAAAACTCCACAATAAATTAAACGAGGCCATTAACACAAGGAAACCCTAAAAAGCCACAAATATTTGGTAATTCAGCAACACACTTCTAAATAAACCATGAGTTAAATGAAAAATTACATAGGAAATGTTTTAATATTTTGATCTAAATGATAATGAAAGCCCAGTATATGAAAACTTGCAGGATGCAGCTAAAGGTGTGCTTAGAGGGAAATATATAGCTCTAATTTATAGCTAAGTGTTAAGCTTTAAACGCATATATTGGGAAAGGAGAATGGTTTAAAATTAGTAATCAAATTACTAAGTCAATAAGTTAGAAAATGAAAAGCAAGTTCGACCCAAAAGAAGTAAAAGGAAAGAAATAATACAGAAAATTAAAGAAAAAGGAAATGGAATAATAATATAAATAATCAACAAAGCCAAAAATTGATTCTTTGAAATGATTAACAGATACAGAGGTTAGGAAGAAACCACAGTTCCTGATATAGAGTTCCTAAAACCCTTAGCATTTCCTGAGCAGTAGGAACACTAGGAAAATCTCTTGTTCTAATATTTGGTCTTGGACTCAAGTTGCTGACATATCGCCCCTAAGACCATTGTAATTTCCTGAGTGACAGGAGCATGTGACTCAACTCAAATCCTTTGTATTTTCTTGGTTATAGAAACATCTTTTATTCTAATGTGGTGACTCTTAGCCAGCTCCTGGATAGCCTCAGGATGGGGGTGGTTGCCAAGGAAACCAATGGTGAGATTAAAGGGTTGGAACTTTCAGTTTCACCCCCATCCCAGATACAGGAAGAGGAGGGAGGCTGAATGTTGAGTTGATATCAATGGCCAATAATGTACCCAATCATGGCTAACTAATGAAGCCTCCATACAAATCCAAAAGATTTGTTAAGCTGTCTAGGAGATTCTAGATAGCTTAAAATATGTGGGTCCTCGGCGTGGCACCCCTAAAGTGGGCTTAGAAGCTCTGCACCTCTTCTCCTATGCCTTGCCCTGTGCGTCTCTTCCATCTGGCTGTTCATCTGTATCATTTGTTTTATTTATATATATATAGTATTTATAAATATATATTTATATTTTAAATATTATTTTATATATATAGAGAGAGAGATGGAGTCTTGCTCTCTTGCCCCGACTTGAGTGCAATGGTGCGATCTCAGCTCATTGCAACCTCCACCTCCTGAGTTCAAGCAATTCTCTTGCCTCAGCCCCCTGGGTAGCTAGGATTACAGGCGCACAACACCACGCCCAGATACTTTCTGTATTTTTTTTTTTCAGTAGAGATGGGGTTTTGCCATGTTGGCCAGGCTGGTCTTGAACTCCTGACCTCAGGCGATCCACTTGCTTCAGCCTCCCAAAGTGCTGAGAATACAGGCATAACTCACCACACCCAGCCCATTTGTAATATATTTTTAATAAATGGATAAATGTAAGTAAAGTGCTTTCCTAAGTTAAGTGAGTCACTCTAGCAAATTACTCAAACCCAAGGAAGGGGTCATGGGACTCTAATGTATAGCCTGTCAGTCGGACGTACAGGTTACAACCTAGAACTTGAGATTGGCATTTGAGGTGAAGAACACTTTTGTGGGATTAAGCCTGCAGCCTATGGGATCTGACACTATCTTTGGTAGAGAATGTCAGATAATGTCATAATTGAATTATAGAACACCCAGCTGGTATCCACTGGAGAACTGTGCAATCAGTGTGGAAAATGAGCCCACACATATTTTGGTGACCAGAGATGAAGTATTCTGTGTTCTCGTTACTATGTGAGAGTAGAGTAGGAAAATAATCGAGGTTTTTTCTATCCTCTAGCCAAGGAGGCACGGCGAATATGCTCTTAAATACTTTCCATCATACCAAGGGAAGCTGAAAAGAAGAAGAGAGCTGGTTTATTCTCTTGTCCCTTGAATTTGCATTTTTGAAAACAGAGTCCTTCTCATGTAGAATGTTGGTGTAGAGGGTCTATGATCCTGGAAACCCACAGATTTCATCATTCAGAAACCCTGGCAAAGCCAGGACCCAGACCTCTTAATGGTCTTTACGGAGGGTGATAAAGACTCTACTCAGACTCTCTTACCTACATCTAAGTCAGAAATTCGACCCTTTCCTGGAGAAGCAAAACTGTCATTCCAGATCTTCAACTCCACGCTCTGAATTAGTTGAGTAGCCTGTCTTGCAATGTCCTCTCTGCTTCCATTTCTTCTCAGATTTTCCTTCAAAAAAATAAAGCTAATTAGATTGACTCTCACTGAAATGTAAGAAATAAGGAATATGCACAAGTGTTGGAGTGGGGAGCCCAGAAGGCAACAATATTTATTAAGGTGCTACAAGGTGCGTGTGGCATTGAGAATCTAGGTGCTTGATGTAGGTCTTTGAATGACAGCTGAGGCACTTTCCCCCTACCCTTGTATTTCTCTTTCTCTATGGACATGTTGGACAAGGAACTTCTTAATTGTGGGAGGCTGTCCCAGGCACTGTAGGATGTTGAGCTGTATCCCTGGTCTCTATCCACCAGATGCCAGTCACACATATCACCCCGAAGGTATGACAACCGAAAGTGTCCCCAGACATTCACAGATAACCTTGGAATGGAGGACAAAATTACCCCTGGATAGAACTACCCTGCCCTAAAAATCACAGGAAGACATGTTAATGTTTGGGTAGGAGAATGACATAGTTATACATACCAGCTGTTTCCCAAATCCAGGCTTCACCCCACTCACCCAAATATCCACTTTTGCCTGTGTCCCTTGACTGTCGTCCTCTGTGAAAGAAAAGATGTCATTGAAAGAGATGTGGGAGAAAATACACCCTGCTTGCATCCCTTCCTCCAATCACTCTCAAGTTGAGTCTTTCCCTAATACTTCTGCAGCCCATCCTAATTCCCCTCTAAGAAGCCTAAAAAGTATTGCACAGTAGAATTATAAAAGAGAATTAGAATGGGGCTTCCAGTTCCATATTGAGTTGGTGCAAAAGTCATGGCAATATTTGCTATTGAAAGTAATGGCAAAAACCGCCATTACTTTTGCACCAACCCATTACTTTAGTCAACCCTGGTTATTGAGCACCTACTCGAAACCAAGCACAATGCTGAAATATATGGATATAGGCTAGGAAAAGAAACAAAGGTGTCCCCTTGTGGAATCTGAAGTTTGGCATGAAAGTCATCAAGCAAGTTATTATGAATAAATAATTAAGCAATTGCAAGGGATGCTCTTAATAAATAGAACATGACATGTGGACAAAAGGATGGGAACTATAGACACTGGGGACTACTAGAGGGAGAGGGTGGGAGGCTCACGAGGGCTGAAAAGCTACCGATTGGGTACTATGCCCACTACCTGGGTGACGGAAACATTCATACACCAAACCCCAGAGACACGCAATTTACCCACGCAACAAACCTGCACATATACCACACCCAAACCTAAAATAAAATAAAACAGGACTTCCAAAATCAATCAATCAATCAATCAATCAATAATAAATAGGACACGATGGTGTGGGAGTATATAGCAGAGGATCCCAACACATCAGGGTGACATGCAAGAAATCAGTGTTAATTGACTTAATAATATAGAAGCAGTTGTCTACACATCGCAGTATATAAAGT